GGAGTTATGGGGGGAAAAAAGAGGAACAAATGTAATAATCTGAACAATAAAGATTTAATTAGTTAAAAAATATATGAGGGAAAAAAAGAAAGAAAATTAACAATGAAAATGGCTCCTTGAGGGAGAATTCACATTAGGTATCTGAACTGGAGGTGCCCTCAGGCCTTACCAACTCCCAAGTGGAACCTTATCAGACAATTGCATGAATTGTCTTTCTCCATTGCTAATGGGAGTGGGGTTCTTGGGGCACTGCTGGAATAAGCATTTCCAGAGGCCTCAGAGGGAGGATAAGATGTGCAAAAAGAATTTTCTGAGACTCCCACAGGAGGATGAGTGATTTTTTTTTTGTTTGGAATTTTACCTGGGTTTCAATCCCATTTCCTTCAATGCAGTCCTGGAAGAGGTGCAGCTGAGGATTCTGTAGAGCTAGAAGCGAAGTTAGTGTCCAAAGTTTCTTTTCCATGATGGACTTGGGTCCAGCACAGCATCAGAGTATTTGCAGTCCATCAGCCCATTGTATGGGTCCAGAAGGCTGTGAGCCATGTGGCAAATGCAAGAGATCAGGAGCCTGAGAGTCCCCAGGCCAGGAGTCAAGCCCTAGGAGAAGGCAATGGAGCTAACACTTTTGTTTAGGAGATTAAATATCTCAGATCTCCCAGTGCTTGCAGTGGCCACACCTACTCTGCCTAATGACCTGTTCCCAGTTGTGACTGACAAGCAAGTACCTTCCCTCTGTCACCCAAACTTTACTGGGCATGTGTTAAACTACAGCTTCCTGGCAAAGTTGCACAAATGACTATAATATTTGGCCTTCCCTTTGCTCCTTTTCAGTTATTTAAAACTGGGTTAATTATAAGGGTACCAGATACTTGCTTTTCATTCTTTTACTGTTTTTATTCCAGAAGAGAATGGAAGGACATAAGAAGAGCAAACATGGAACTAAGGCTCAAGGTAAGAAAGCCTCCAAGTTCTTAAAAGGCGCCAGTCCCCCACCTCAAACACAGTGACAGAAGGCCAGTGATTTTAAACTGAAGAAGAAAAACATAGTACTCATTTTTTTCTTTACCTTTCCAGCCATCGTCACACACACACACACACCTGACCCCTCAGTACAATGCTCTCCAGGCACATGACGGTGGGAAATGTGGAAATGCAACTTCAAGTCAGAATTTGCAGGATTTTGATCTGAATTGTAAATAAATTTTCTCTTTCCTTGTCTGCTCTGAGCTGAAGAAATGGAAAAGTTTTTCAGAGAGATTTAGTAATCATGTTTGCTACAAAAACATCCCAGACACTGCAGAAAGGAAGAACCAACACAGAGTAGGAATTAAATCATCGATTTTAGAAGCCTACAGTGAATGTGGAATCCATTTGAGCTCATAAGAACTCTAGAACATCTCCTTTTCATCTTCCTTCATCCCTTGAAGGTTTTAGCTCTTGGCTCAGTGTTTCCCTCCCCAGCATCACTTTTGTTAACTTCCTGTAACTCAATCAGCCATACAGGTGACCTTTCCATCACATGTACTACTAAAGGTCTTAACTTCCAGGCCTCTTAGCCACCCATCCTGAGTCATCTCTCAGGCTTTGCCTTTGACATTACCTATGACCTTTATACTGTCTCAATTTCAAGCATCCAACACCCCATTCAAAGAGCAGAGACCCAGGGACCTCAGCTTGTCCTTCGTGGGAGGTCACATCTGAGACTCCCTTTCATCCCAAGGTTTAGATAAATGTGTTGAGCACTTCTACACATGTGTGCCTGGGAATTTCTGTGTGAAAAGAGGTGGTAATATTTTGCCATGTGTGAGTTCTCATCCTCTGCCTCCTTCTAGTCTCACATTTATTTAGCATGAAACTGGCCTAGACACCATCCCTGGAAAAACACAGGGACCACTTTACTCTCAGAAAATATGTATCTTCCCTGGTTTAGCTGAAGGGCTTGAAGCATCCTCGTCAGTGTAGCAGTTCTTACTCTTGGCTATGGGTCCAATGTGGGCTTCCTATGTAGACTTTCTATGGCCCAGGAACCTCATACAGTTGTCAGTAAATTTGTGTATGTATTTAGATATGACAGTTTCCTGGGAGGGAGGTCCACAGATTTAATGAGATAACATGAGGTTCCATGGCCAAAAAATCTGAAGCAACAATGGCTTAGTAAGACACACAATATTTCTTTTTCAGTCAGTGTAGAAGATAACCGAATTGCATCATCATCCTCACTGAGGCTGGTCCTGGTTGGTATATCCGGCTGCGGGAAAAGTGCCACTGGGAACAGCATCCTCTGCCAGCCAGAATTTGAGTCCAAGCTGGGGGCCCAAACCGTGACCAGGAGCTGCCAGGTGGGAACAGGCACATGGAATGGGAGGAACATCCTGGTGGTTGACACGCCCTCCATCTTTGAGGCAAAGGCCAAGGACCAAGAGATGTATGAGGACATCGGGGACTGCTACCTGTACTCAGCCCCAGGACCCCATGTGCTTCTGCTGGTGACACAGCTGGGGCGCTTCACTGACCGGGACACGGTGGCAGTGAGGAGGGTCAAGGAGGTCTTTGGGGTAGGAGCCATGAGACATGTGGTGGTCCTCTTCACCCACAAGGAGGACTTAGGGGACATGTCCTTGGATGAGTATGTAGTCAACACGGACAACCACAGCCTGAGGAGCCTGATCCAGGAGTGTGGGGGGAGGTACTGTGGCTTCAACAACCGGGCCACTGGGGAGGAGCAGAGGGCGCAGCTGGAGGAGCTGATGGCTGTGGTCGAGAGACTGAAAAGGAAGCGCAAGGACGCATTCTACACAAACGACCTCTACTTGGATGCACAGAAGCTCAAGGAAAGCAAGGGTGGCACCACTGAAGAAAAGCACCGGTGGTACCTGGCCAAGGTGAAAGCACATGTTGAAAAGCAAAAGCAAGACCTGAAGGAGACCCGGAGTCAACGGGTGTACAAGGTGATCCTCAGAGTCAGAAACTGTATGCTTTCTAACATTGGGTTATCTGCTATACTTGTGATATGTCTTCTGGTTTTTCTTGCCCTCTTAATTAACTTGTGTATGACTCAAGGACACTGAGCATTTTCAACTGACTTCTACAGTTGGCTCCTTTTTTTCAAGACTCACCATCTCTGTTTATGTTTGTAAGAAACTTATTTGCTTTTTGCTTAGATTTAGTTTTCATTTCTCTTCCTTGCATTACACATGTCATTCATGTTCTCCTAACGCTTCTAGATAAATAAAATCCAAAGGAAAAACTATTTCTTTTTTGTTTTGTTAAAAATCATGGAGGTAAATAATAACTTAGCTAGATACAATCCTGGAATCTTTGGGAGGGTTTTGTAGGAAGGAAGGTGAGAGGACTGTGATATTACACATTGATGGAAGAAATATATTACATTAGAAGCTGGGTGTAGAATTCCTTATATTTTTCAGAAATGTGCTCTGATTTCATCATAGGCTGTAAGGGATGACACCCATCACCACTGCCACCTGGGAGAGGATGTTCTGGGGGGAATTTTGGAGGCATGTGGGGCTGGGGAGGAAGGTGGGAGGAAACATAGACATGTGAGGAGAAGAGAAAATGGTCATAGAGTTGGGATGGGGTCAGGCCTTGGGGAAAGAAGAGACAGTGTCTGGGGGAAAAAAAACTGGGGTTTCATAGAGCAGAGCCAGACAGTGGATTAGGCTCAGCAGACTACATGATCTCAGTCACTTACAAAGGAAATGGTGGATGGACAAGATGTAAGTGATGTGTGAGATTGAATTCCATAAAACTTTATGAACACTGAAATTTGAATTTCATTGACTTTCTTATGTGGTGATGAAACAATCTTCTTTTTATTTATTCAACTTTTTAAATACCTAAAAGCCCTTCCTTCTTAGCTGAAAGACTGTAAAACTGGCACCGGCCAATGTGGTCAAACCCCCTTTTACAATAAATTCCCATTGTTGGTGGAGCTGTGTTGTGAAGCAGCCTCTTTAGCCCCAAATTCAGTACAATCATGTCTGGGAACTTGAGGAAAGAGGGGTGTTCACCACCTCCACGACAGCAAAGGGAAGAGGGCAGGCATTAGGGTGACATCTGGGCAGAGGTCATGAAGTTAGTGGAAATGGGAAGCTAGATGAAGTCCCCAGGTGGCCCCTGCCCCACCCTCTCCTTCTTTTGGTGGCTGTCCCCATTTCTCTGCTCATTTGTACCCTGTATGGAGACCTGAAGTTGTCCCAAGCAGCCTGTGACTGGATGGGTAAATGATCAGGTCTGGGAGGACTCTTAGGAACTCAATGGTGCCACCCAGCTGTCATTCTCCAAACCTCTACTGGTAACAGAGGTGTCGCCTTGATCTTACCAGCTGTAGCACATTACTGACTCCAAACACCCACAGGGAGAGTTATGTACAAGCTCTTCAAACCCTGTCCACGCTAAGAAAGTTGCATTCTCTGACCAAGGACCACCACCCCAACACGGTTCCAAAACTGTCCAACCTGCCTAGGTCTCCCCCTTCCTGGACTTAATTCAGTCCAGCTGCACAGACATTTATTTCACAAATACTGAGTGTCAGCTTCTCTGCTCCGCCCCAGGAATGTAAGAGAAATAATGCCAGTTTCCTGCTTCCGAAAGCAACTGTGTGATAGACGATGAAGTTGCAGGAAAATGGGGTGTGAGAGAAAGGATTTGGAGGTCAGACATTGGCCAAAGGGAGAGCACACGGGCTCAGCGGAGGCTCCCTAGATGGGTGGTGCTGGAGCTGATGGAGCCCACAGAGACGTTTTGGGCTGCGGGAGGCCACGGACAAGGGGGGAAATAAGAATCAGCCCACGGGGAGGGTACAGCAAGGGGCGGGGTTGGGCCGGGGTCTGTGCATCACCATCAGGACTTGAGGGCTGTCAGCAAAGAACAGAAAGTCATTAGATACTGTCTGCATGTCAGAGCAGATTAGCAGACAATATTTTAGGAAGATCACGAGGCAGCAATGTGGTGACTGGATTGTATGAGAGTAAACCTAGGGGCAAGAGAACATTTAGAAGGAAAGAATTCCATCTCAGGGATCAGGGTCTGAGCCTTAACAAAATGAAGACTCAAATGGGAGACACTGAGGAGGTGCTGGAATCAACAAAATATGGTCACTGATGGCAATACTGAGGAGGGAACCAGCTTTCTATCTTGGGCCACCCCCCTACATGTGGCTCCCTTCACTGCCCTGTGCCCTCAAGGTAGAGCCGGCTGAGCAGAGGAGGGTAAGGACTTTGGATCAGGATTCCGGCCTTGATGCCCCTCCTTCCAGGGCTGGTTGACTCTGAATCCTCAGGTTTGTTCCAACTCTGCTCTGCTTTGAGGTGTTGCCATCACCCTCAGGCTGGAAGCTGGATGGTGACTGGAGTTCCAAGCATCACACTCAGACCCAACCATGCTCAGGGGAGCAGGGGGGCTGTGTCTCTCTGTGGGTCTCCCGGGAAAGCAGAAACCTCTGGTCCCCACCTCTGCAGACCTGTACTCACTTCTCTTTGGCCTGAATTGGGTCTCAGGCCCATTCCTGAACTAATCACGGCAAAGAGCACAGGATTGCAGTCATACCCATCAGGTGTCCCTGCAGCTCAGCTGTTGTCACTGTCCCCTGAGGCCCATGGTTCTTTGGGAACAAGTGAAGGCCTGAACCCAACCAGACGTCCATAAAAAAGAAGCAATAGGAACTCATAGACACCAAAGCATGTCCTCTACAGACCATGAGAGTTAATTTCTGAACTGGGGACAAGCAGAACCATGAATCCATAAGGTGACACTTGGAAACGCTTTGACATACAGATGGCACATAGAATTAAAGATGATGCCAGATGATAAGTAAAATAATAATGAGAAATAAGCTGCACCCAACTGGACAAACACAAATCTCGTAATGCAAAAGGACTCCACGTTTTTACTCTAAGGAGCACCTTGGACACCCGGTGTCTCCAGGTCTCCTTCAGGTCTCGCCTGTGTCTTTCAATGTGCGCTTGCACCTTGGCCAGGTAACACATGTGCTCTTCTCCAAGAGTGCTTCCCCGCCTCCCTGGGGATAAGTCCTTAAGTCTTCCTTGTGGATGACGAGGACCACCACATGTCCCACAGCCCCTGCCCCAAAGCCCTCCTTCACCCTCCTCACTGCCACCGTGTCCTGAGCAGTGAAGCAACCCAGCTGTCTAACCAGCAGCAACACGTGTGACTCTGGGGCTGAGAGCAGATAGCAGTCCCCGATGTCCTTGTATATTGCTTGGTTTTGGGATTTGCCTCAAAGATGGAGGGTGTGTCAACCACCAGGATGTTCCTCCCATTCCATGTTCCTGTGGCCAACTGGCAGGTCTTGGTCACGGTCTGGGCCCCCAGTTTGGATCAAACAGGAGCTGACAGAGTATGCTGTTCTCAGTGGCACTTTTCCCACAGCCGGATTTGCCCACCAGGACCAGCCTCAGTGAGGATGATCCTAGAACAGTGATGGCGAACCTATGACACTTGTATCAGAGGTGACACGGGAACTCATTTTTTTTTTGGTTGATTTTTCTTTGTTAAATGGCATTTAAATATATAAAATAAATATCAAAAATATAAGTCTTTGTTTTACTATGATTGCAAATATCAAAAAATTTCTATATGTGACATGGCACCAGAGTTAAATTAGGGTTTTTCAAAATGCTGATATGCCGAGCTCAAAAGGTTCGCCATCACTGTCCTAGAGTTATAATTATAACTGCTATTATAATGTGTAATCCGAATGTTAGTATCCCCCAAACTTATGTGCTGAAACCCTAGTCCCCAATATGATGGCATCTGGAACTGGGACCTTTGGGAGGTGATTAGTGCTAGATGAAGGCAGGAGGTTGGAGCTCCCACATGATGGGATTAGTGCCCTTAGAAGAATAGGAAGGGAGTGAAGCTCTCTCTCCACCAGATGAGGACACAGCAACCAGGAAGCAGGCTCTCCCCAGACACCGAATCTGCCAGCACCTTGATCTACCTTCCAGCCTCCAGAACAGTGAGAAATAATGTTGGTTGTTTACCACCCAGTCTATGGTATTTTATTATAGCCTCAGATGACTGAGAGTAATAAATGCCTTTTGAAGAAGAAATGGAGAACAAAAAAGGAAAAGACCCAGAAGAAAGAGCATCTGTGATGAATTAGGGTGTCACCCCCTCTGTCTCCATCACAGGGCTGGGATCAGCATGAAAGCCAGCCACTGGCCTGGACTGGAGCAAATGCATCTCCCCACCCACCGTGTGCCTCTCTGGCATCAAGATTCTTTCTTATGGGTAATTCTAGATGCCAGGGTAGATTGAATTCAAGGCAGGCACGATGTTTGAGACATTTTATGGCTCTGGCCTCCCTCTTACTTCTGTCAAATACCCTGCCCTCAGGTTACCCAGGCTGTGGCCTGAGGGAAAACAAGTTTAGGAGGTTTCCTCACAGAAGCAGACTTGCATTTCCACAGAAACTAGGGAGACATCTGTCCTCCCACCCACCCATGCTGTCATTTAGGCAAAGTGACAAGCATTTAAGAGCTAGGGATGTCCTGTGAACCTTGTCTGGATATTTATATTATTTATTTATTGTTTTGAATGTGATATTAATAAAAGGAAGAGTCCTACTGCTTTAAAGTTATGGCTAAAAAGCTTAGATGTGAAATGATATGATATCTGGATTGGCTTTTAAATAATCAAGACAAGAAGGGAGGGAGTAGATGAAACAAGACTGTCCAAGTATAATAATGACAGCTAATGATGATACATTGAGTTAGCTACTTCTCCCTAAATAGAATGTTGCACTTTAAAAGTTTTCAAATCATATTGACAAAGGCTTACCAACCTTCACAATATTTCTTTTTATTTCAAAAATTTTAGATATATTGGATTAAATGAGATACCTTTCAGCCTGTCAAGCGAAAGAGTAAGAGATTTATATAGGTCTTAGGTCTTAGTAAATCCTTTCTTGATATTGTGAAATCTAATGTCTCCAAGGCTGACTAATCGATCCTTTTTCAAGTCAAGCAGTTTACACTACTTTGTTTTCAACAAAAAAGAAGGGAGATATATCCATTAATAGTTACTTAAAAATTAATGATACTTTGCTATGTGTTTTTTTGGCATTTATCTTGGAAGGAATACAAGGAGTTGAGTGGCACTGCCATAACAAAATTGTTTCCATCTTATTTATTTATTTATGTGAACAAGGTTTCTCAGTGCCTGTACTGATTGAAGTAAAAATAGGAATATAATTGATATG